CTTGGCCTGCCCTTCGCGTGTCTTGTCTTAGATGTACTTTTATTATGACAAAATAGCTCTCACGTCAAAATGCCTAAGTATCATAGTAATATACATATAATAAATACTTAAATCCAGAGTGAACCTTGACATGTATAAGATATCATCTCATGATTTATGAGTTTTTTAAAAGTGTTGGCTGATACCCAGTCATAGGAATGCATAAGATATTTATCACCAAGCATATATAAGAACGAAAAAGACCAAAAAAAAAGAAAAGATGTAAAATGAACGAGAATATCCAGAGAAGTAACCAAACAAGTTTCAAGTCTTATTTCCTCAAAGATGATTTCCTTCCCTCTATCCTAATGCTTAACACATTGCATCACTGTTTACTTGAATCCTGCGCGCCCCCGCGCCCCACACTGCCGGCTCCACCAGGACACTGGACGTTGTTTTCTCGGTGCCTGAAACAGGGTCTGGCACAAAGCAGGGGTTCAGTAAGATCTGCTAAATGGATCCAAGCACAGACCGGCACTTAATTCAAATAAGTACTGAATGAAGAAAAAGGTTTCTTTAAATTTCTGCTCCTACGGGTTTGGTAGAATGAACATGAAGATACAGGCTTTAGAAAGGATACTATAATTCTAGTTAAAAGAGAAACCATTCAGCATGAATGAATGCTATTGTATTAATGTTGTAATGATAAAATAAGTCAAAGAAAATATCACTGGGCAGGGGGCAGAGAGCTGTATCGAATTATCTCATCATAAAAATGTCTGAAGATACTTTGGAAATTTTCTATATATCATTTAGATAGTGATGTGACTAGAGATTGGTCCTTCATTTAAATCTGCAGTGGTTGCCCTGGCTGGCATAGCTCAGTTGACTGGAGCATATCCTGTATATCAAAAGTTGGGGGGTTCAATTCCCGGTCAGGGCACATACCTAAATGCCAGTTCAGTCCCGGGCCCGGGCATGTATGGGAGGCAGCTAATCGATGCTTCTCTGTCTCTCCCTTCCTCTTAATATCAATAAACATTTTTTAAACAAATAACTATGCAGTGGTTGGAATACTTCAAAAATCATAAAAATATATAAGTAACTGAGGTGTATCTTGTTTTCATTTATCATAGTTTATTTTACCAAAAAGTCTGTGGCAATATTTAAAGTTGAAATGGTCTCCAAAAAAAATTACCAATACCCTCTCACTTTTTTATTTGCTCTTTAGTATTTATGAAGAAAATTCTACTTTAAAAACCATTTTCTTTTCTTCCAATAAAAAAGAACAAAAGATATTGGCAAAAGCAACAGTCTTAGTTTGAGGCCAGTATAAAGAAGCTCTTGGTTTTTTGTAGAGGCTCACAAATCACCCTTGCATGAAAGTACTGTGCATTAGCAATAAAGGTTGTTTAATGTACTTCTGAATTGTATCGGTGTCTCAGAAAGAAAGAACAAATGTTGTAAGCCATGAATTTCTTATGGTTAAGCTTCTCAAAACACTTTCAGTGCAAGCAGAATACGCATACTGATTAGCAGAGGTAAGTCATTCTGACAGGGTTTCCACTCACCTTTCTAGCTTGCCCCACTGTGTAGATATACAATTACAAACACTATGTAAGCTCATCCCAGGGATATTTCTGATAATCTGTTGAGTACTTACATCATAATTATATGAAGCAAACAATTATTTCAACACACACATTTTCCATTTAAATGTCATAGTAAATCAGCCAACAAGCAGGTAAATTATTTAGTATAATTAACAACATTTACATTGTATAGCTATAACAAGCATGAATGACTGCTTTCATAAATGCATTCAAGTTATAGTGAGATCAAGAAAGTCTTCAAAATTTAACAAATAACTCATTGTATAAACTATGGTCTCAAAAGTGCAGAGCAATTAGAATATATTGTTAAAAATTTCATACCATGAAGGACAATCATATTTAATGTAATACAGGTTTAGAAATAAACCTACTGCCCTGGCTGGTATAGCCTAGCGGATTGAGCACCAGCCTGTCAACCAAAGGGTCACCAGTTCCATTCCCAGTCAGGACACATGCCTGGGTTGCAGGCCAGGTTCCCAGTGGGGGTATGTGAGGGACAACCACATATTAATGCTTCTCTTCCTCTTTTTAAAGTAGTTTTTTTTAAAGAAAACTACTTCCTTTTTTTAAAGAAAACTACTTATTTTTCTTCTTTGTTACTCCATTTTTGCTTTCCTCGATTCCTTGAAAAAAAAATTAAAAGTTGAGGAAGGAAAAGACAGAGACATTTTGAACGTCACTGTGCATCTATGTCTTCATCGTACTCCCTGCTATAGTAAGTATCTCAAGAGCAGGGCCCGTGTTTTATGACACCAACTATTAGGCTCCCGTCTGAATGGATCCAATACAGGTTCATTCAAGATAACGGAAAACAAATGACATAAAGTACAGGTTCTGTGTTTATTGTTCATCGGTGGATAGTCTAAGTCGTTATAGTGCACGTAAATATATCATGATACAGAAACTTGGTAGCTTTGACGTCTAAGTTATGGCCCTCACCTAATGTGAAATAAATGTTTTCATCACCTCATAGGGAAGGGCGAACTGTAACAATTTGTTTCTCGATGGTTCTGTTTTGAATACCTGAGAATGGGACAGAGGTTTAATATGTTCTTTAATAAGATTTTTCTCTGTCCCCTTGGACAATTGAAGGCAGGTGAAATCTTTTCAAGGATCTGGAGAATACGCAACGTGCATATGCCATCTTGATTAAACATGTGGGATACGTACTTGGACAAAGGCCAAATGCAGACCTGCTTGAGTAATCTAAACACCCAAGCTGAGAGGGGTTAATGCATAAAGATCAGCTTTGTACTTTGAAGTTTTCTGGACTTCATTTTGCCTAATTAAGACAAGATTTCATAATCAAACCACTGTACAAACATGTACCTAAAAGTATAGGTTTGTTTCTAATTTTGGGAAGAATTCTTAACAGATTCCAAAGAATCAGCTCCACATGGGGGAAAGTCTCTGATAAGACTTGCCTTTCTCGTCGCTAAAATGCAAATGCCTGCTTTCCATCTTAGTTTCTGCCATGTGACTGAGATTAGCATCACCTATCAAAATCTCAAGGGTGATAATAAAATATAAAGATTCTCATACCAGCATGCCATCGGAGTCTGAAACAGTGGCAACTCTAGGTCATAAAACATACATTCCAAAATATTCTTAAAGGTATTCATAGGAATCTAACAAATCTACTTCCAGATCAGAATATAATCAGGTGGAAAGTAGGATTCCCAATCTTCCCTTCCACATAGATTTTTTTCTCACTAGACACCAGACAATTTTTCACGAATACCAGCCAGTTTTAAGTAGTGCTGAGAGACCACAAAACAAACTTAACTCTACCCTAATCTAGCAAACATGTGCAGAAGCACATTCAAGTCAATAGGTATTATGCCATTACACAAGAAGGAAGTTGGTTCTCCTATGATGAGACTGATTTGGAGATGTAGAGAAATGCTAAAGCAATGAAATAGGCATCAATCTGATGATAGAGAAGGAGTCTTAAATGCACTGAAATATAGTCTGTACTAGACTGAAAGTTGGCAGGAGCGCCAGGTACCACTGCTTGCAATCTCCGCCCCCCACCCCCACGCCCTGCAATCCTCCCGTCCACACACATGTCATCCTCGAAAGCATCAGAGGGCTGGGCTGGAAGAAGTTCTGTTCAGGAGCGTGACCTTCAGTTCATGTTCCCTTCATGGCTCTGCCTTGTAAGGCGGAGGCCAAAGGGAGGAGAAAAACTCTCCGCCTGCCTGCAATCAGGTAAGCAGGTGATAAAGACCCCCGTCTCCTACCACTATTAGAAAGGTTATTAGATCTTTGCCTGGGGACATTTTGCTCTGTTTACAATACAATAAAACATTGTAACACTAAGTCAATTTTCAGCTCTCTAAGAGTAAACAGGAAATCATTTCTCAATATAATACCTCTATATGATACTTGCAGGTGATATAGTAACAAAGGCAAGTGGATAGAATCTTAATATTCAGGACCTTAACATTTTCCAGGAATGAGAAGATTCTGTTTTATAAGCCAACCCTAGCAGAGAGCAGTAGCAAAACTGTGCAGGCCAGTTTTGCTTACAAATTCACTGAAAATGCTTTACCAGCCTGTCTGCTATTGTTAGATTGTAATCACTGTTTCTTTGTGGTCACCCCAGCAGGAGAGCGCCTAAGGATGTGGTGTGATAACAGACATTCGCTCTCCATTTCAGCCACAACAAGGCTGCCAGAGAGAAATTACCACAAGGTTCTCAGAAACCGTTTTAAACACTGTTTGAAACAAAGTGGGACATGCTGGAAAATAAGTATAATATGGAAACATACAAGTTGCTGAAAAATCCCTCGTTGGCTAACCTTGTCCTCGCTGCCTGCATCTGTGCAAACTTCTGAGATGTCAAACCATAACATTCAACTCTGCCCCGAGCCTTTCCTGCAAGCACGAAAAATGAGGCTGGGCACCTGTGTGCCTGTGTGCCCTTACGTATTAAAAGAGGTGCTCAGCCCTGGCCGGATAGCTCAGTTGGTTGGCTCGTCGTCTGTACACCAAAAGGTTGCTGCTTTAATCCCCAGTCAGGGCACAGACCTAGGTTGTGGGTTCGATCCCCATTTGGGCCACATATGGGAGACAACCGATTGATGTTTTTTCTCTCTCTTCTCTCTGTCTCTCTCCCTTCCTCTCTCTCTAAAATCAATAAACATATACTCAAGTGAGGATTTAAAAAAGATGATCAGGCCTAAAAGACTTTGCTAATCTATAATCTCAAAACTGCTACAACTGTCCCGTGAAAGTAATGATGGTGAAAACCCTGACGCTGGGATGGTGTCCTTGACCCCTGGCATCAATCTCCTTTCGACAGCGACAGGTACCAATGTTCGCCCTTGAATGCCCAGGTCAGGGAAGAGGACCCCAATTTCCACAGAGGTGGTTATGACATTTCAACCCGGCAGGGGGGCTTACTTTGTTCATGTGGATCTGTTGCTGGTATTGCTTCTGCTTCTCCAAGAATTGCTGGTGTTGCTGTTGAATGACCAGCTGAGCCAACGTGCTCTGAGGCAAAGGTGCAGACTGGGTTCGATTCAAGGGCCTGTGACGGGGTAATTTGTGGGTACCTCTGATGCCAGGTGAGATTCTCTCTTTTGTTGCCAAGGGAGACTGAGGATGTAAGGGAACCCCACCTGAAAAAAGCAAAAATAAAAAAATACATATATGTCCATGTACATACACACACACAATTTTGTCTAAGAAAAGACAAGAAGCCACAGAAAACAGGTGCAGGGGATAAAGTTTATGAACGGAGTGACTCTCCTAGGCAGACGTCAGAAGAAGGCTAGTTGGATGGGGTAAGGCAGTAAGGCAGAAGTACCAAAACACTGGACAGGCACGCGTCTGACCAATGAATGGCTCACCATGTGTCCACCCTAGCATGCGAAGGTTATGTAAGGTGAGATTTTTTTTCATGGATCTAGGAAAATAATGGAAGATAATAGCCTTTCCCACAGTACCTGGTATCAGGGAGACCTTGGGAAACGGTAAATCTCTATCGGTGTCTTGAGTCAAAAAGATATTACATTGGATCGCTGACAACAGCCCCCAAATGATCTAGAAATGGCGCCCTTATTAATTACCTGCCACAAGGAGCTTCTGCTGTCGCATTTGTTCTTTCAGTAGTAAATGCTGCAGGAGAGCTTGGTGGCTGCTGTTGGGCTTTCCCTCTAAGGCGACGTGGGGATGGCTCGAAGACGGCGGGAGGGTGCCCCCGAACTGCCCAGGCAGAGGAACGCCTTGCCTAAGCGGCTGGGTCTCACACTTCTGTTTCTCTTTGAGTGAGTTCGAAGCCTGCGTCAAGAAATAATAAAGACGTGAATCCCTGTTCATCCGTGTGGGTCGTTAGGTCTGTAGATCCTCAGATTAGTTTTGTGTCCCATATCCACCCCACTCTCCCCTTAGAAAGGCCCATCTTACCCTATGCCCAAGTAGGGAAATGGATAACAGCGAGACTTAAACTAACTGAGTTAACAAAAAAGACATAAAAGTAGAGGTGAAGCGTTGGAGACAATTTAGTACTGGGTGTCATTGTACGTAAAAAGATCTTTTAACATTAAAAATTATGCTAATTTCAGGCTTAATAACCAGGAACTGTACTTCTTATTTTAATATACTGATGAAGTAAAAGGTATATTGCAAAAGTAAAATTTCTCCAAATTGCTAAATTAAAGATACATCATAGCAATCAAGAAGCTGGAGACGAAATGGTCTATAATTCCGGAGTCTCCAGCACAAGGAATAACTCGTCCTTTCTCTCCACGTCCTCTAATAAGTTCACAGAACTGTGTTTCCAATATTTAATTTTTAAAATAAAATTCTTCGGATAGCTCATTGAGAGGCTTTGCAAAACATGCAGGAATTTCATTTAAACATGTATTTTATATTAATTCATAACAGATCCCCAAGTCTCTAAATATTGAAAATGACACTCCAGATACTTTTGTTTAATAAAGTAAACTACAAGTGGAATTATATCAAATAAAAATGCTATTAAGAACTTGAAATGTATGATAACAGTAATAAAGCAATAATAATTACACCATCAATAGTAATAATGAATTATCCTATTCAAAGGGTTTAATGAATGGTGGTCATTTTAGTATTACAAAAGCAGAAGTCTAATACCTCAAAATTATGTGGCATGTTTCTTTTCAAAACTCATGTTTCATCTTTCAAAATTGCTGTGCACCAGGGAAGCAAAGCAATTTTCAGTGATGGAGAAATTAAAGGACAAAGAGGTAAATGGTTTGTCTTAGTCACACAGCAAGTCAACGCAATATTTCATCTAGAAGTGATGCCTTCTCTTGGCCTCTGTTCCTTAAAATTTCCCACTGCTCAGTGGGGAAATGGAATATTGGAGGTCCCTTTGCCAAAGCAATGCTAAGCTTGAAAAATTAATTGTGATGGCCTCATCCACACCAAAATGGAAGCAACGAAAAATGAAACTTCAATCCAAACCACATTGGTTTATTCATCCAACGGCACCAAATTGTATTACCATCAAAACATTAAATGGTCTGGCTTTAGTGCTTGGTCCTTTGAGAGAAAAATTCTCCCCGACCACATTAAAAGTGGTGTATGTTTATGTTAGCTGGTAGGGGGACTTAGGGCTTGCAAAAGGGAGTGAATATAAAATCCTATTCATGTGTCATTAGAAGTTTTCCTGTCAGTATCTGCTCATCATTGGAAGAGATAGGGGAAAACAGGAATAGAAGGGAAATAGTTTCTAATAAGTGAAGATTTGAAAATATCACCCATGAATATTTAGGTTTAGTTTCACCCTTAATTCCTTTTTAATTTTTGCTAGAATCCACTGTTTACAAAGGCTTCATGTGGAATTTCAAGGACGTGCTTGAATCTGGTATTTGTAAGCCTTTCTTCTTCAATCTTCAGCTATATAACGGCATCCAAATTCTGCTTTCTCCTCACTGGTTATAAGATTATTGTAGCACATAAAACAACATTCCACTCTATTAAAAGCACCAAATATATAAGATACCTCTTGGACTTTTATTTAGTAATATATATTGAACCCAGTTATCAAATATATCATTTAAACATGTCACTCTAGGTGTGCTCATATATAAATTAGTATACCATATACAGATAGTGTATTCTGAAAATAAACTAGTCAAAAGATGGTTCACTTTTTATAATTTCTTGATCTGGGAATATTGTAAAAAATATATCTGAGTTTGACGAGTCACACCCAGTGAAAGGCTCACTTCTAAACACTGGCAGAATGCGTGCCAAGGGGGCCACACATTTCTCTTCATGTCTAACATATCACATGACCTTTACATAAGTGCAATTAATTTAATTTCCATCCATTTCATAGCCGAATTATTTTAGGTGAAGCTTACAGATCTTTTACAATGACAAAAAATATTTTTAAGGGAATACGTATTAAATAATCATTACTGTCTTCTGCTAGTCAGACAATTACCTCCAAAAGATCCTATTTCAGTTGTCAGGACTTTCAAAGTAATTTCTGCACTTGAGTCTCCTGGGAAGAGTTTAATATTGTTCTTAAAGAGGTTTTCCAGATATGTGCTCTCCAGTGTGATTGAGTCAGTAACTTAAATTCTCAAAATAAAGTCATTCACAAAATGAACTGTGTAAACATGTGCTGTCGGGCCTGAGACAGAAGCCGTGCCTCTCAGCACTGGCCTGGGTGGCGTCCCGGGGCTGCTCCGCACTGGCTCTGGGACCCTGGACTTTGAGAACAGCACTAGTCTCAGCTTCTCCTTTTGTTAAACTGTGGCTCATAATCCCTGTTCCATGGGACGGTCATGTGGAGCTAATAAAATATCTGGAGAGTACTTTCTTTTTAAAAAGCTATGAAGCATTTACAAATGTTAGTTATTATTTTTATATATTGTTATAGGAACCAGCATAAGTCTTTAATTTGAAATTAAACTGAACATCTTTGAACAACTCAGTCGACAGCGAAGGAGACTCTCCCAAGTTTCCCTGGAGTCTAAACATGTCAGAGACCAGCGCTCCCCGTGGGGACGTCCCTCGGGCCTCTGCGGGCTGCCGCTGGGGGGCGACTTACACTGAGCGGGGTGGGCACTGCCGGGAGCCCCAGGGTGATGTTGGGGAGAGAGGGAGAGGTATACAGACTCAGCAAGTTCATGGACTCTTCGTGAATTAGGATGCGCTGCTGTGAAACCATGTGCTGTAAAAAAGAGAAAAAGGAAAAAAAAAAAACAATGAAAGGGGAGTCTCAAGAGATTGCAATACCACGACTTTTACTGTGAAATATTCAGATTTCAGACAATAGAGTTTGTATTATCGTATTCGGTCAAACTAATTTTAAGTAGTTTATTTATTTTATGATGTCTGTATCCAGGTGTCATATGTAAACATTAAATTGACATTTCCTTCCACAGACATAATTATAAAATCTGAGAAAAGGACTTCCATGTTCATTTTGCCAAGTTCCGTTTTATAATTCTAGCTCCATGGACCCAAAATCAGGGTGTTTGTCATTAGTCCGTAAAGCACAACAATAAAGTTGAGTAATTCTTATGAATATATGTACTTCTTTGTATTATTGAGTGATGATTTTATATATGCTCATCGCTCGTGTATATATATGAATTTATATAAATATGTATTCATTACTCAATGAACATATGAGTTACACATGATTTTACTGATAGGAAAACTCACACAAGGAAATCTTAGGTTGAATGTCATCCATAATAACTGATCATACGTTTTACTATAAAATTTGCGAGTAGACAACTCCGGGTGGTGCTTTCGGATCGTTCACACTTAGAAACCGACGTGAATGTTCAAGTGTTACGAGTTCCCGGTAACACAACAGCTTCGTTTTCGCTGCACACCCAGAGCATTTTGGCATCACAGTCCTTCTTACAACAAATACCTTTTTAAAAACACAATACTCAGAGTCACGTTTTCCCCCATGTGGCCTAATATGGTTGCTTGAATTACATTTTCTGTTTAATTCTTGCTTCCCTCCCAGAACTCTTATACAAAAAGAGTTACAAAGGTCTTATTAGACTAAGGAACTCTGGCCTGATATGGTCCCCAAGGGAACAACATCCCTGAAAAAGAATACTCCATGTAACAGTATGACACAGTGACTGCTTTCTTCCCAAACAAAAAGCATATGGGACTCCAATAATAGACCACCTCCAAGAGGGATACTGCACACACGGGCCTCGACTAAAGTAAATATAATAACTTGTCAGGCATGTTTGGGGGAGCTGTAGATTTTCCCCTGGACAAACCTGGGATATCAATTAACTGGGGGAAATATCATGTGCTAATACAATGCAACCTCAGAATGTCACTGAAGAGTGATGCGCCAGCAAAACACAGGATGTTATTCCAAAACATCCCCTCAATCATGCGTTTGTTTGGAGATGAGTCATATAGCCTTAAGATAATAAAGGGAGAAGGTTAAATGTGGATTTTTCTCATTGCAACTTGAAATTCCAAGCTCACTCAGATTTTGTTTTTTCTCTAAAGAAGAAAGTCAGATACTCGTGCATGAAAATCAAACCTTTAACATTATGTTGCTTTATATGTAAGCTTTTATAAAGTTGTCTAAAACACGGTAGCATGAAGACTGTTGAAAAGAATTTCACCATTACAATGCATGAGATTGCAAGTTTATTTTACTGTTAGCAGACACAGTTCCATATTTGCTCTAATTAAGAAGATAAGCTACTACTTTGCTTACACTATTCCTTTAACCTAAATTTTAATTATAAAATATATATCCGACAAGAACAGAAACAATGTATGAGAAATTAAAAATTTTAACTAGCTCACTGACAGCATGTGGTCATTCATAATAAAGGGATTATTTCACTCACTTATCTGTACTCATAGTAGTGACATAAATGTGGAACAATGTACATTGTAAAATGATGTCTAGCATTCACTCGGGGTGCATCTGCTGCTCATGGCACTGAGACTTGACATGCACTGTGGGCATGACAGCAAAAGATATCACAGACCTCACAAAAGAGGTGACTTTTGTTTCCTCTTTGTTCTGTGATACCCTTCCATGCCCTTACAGGAGGTAAACATGCACTAAAGTGAGAGAAAGTTTGTTTTTTCTCAGATGGATGAAGGACAGTGGCACACTGGCTACTCACACAGCCTTGGAGCAAAGTGAAAGAATTTGGGAACACTCTCCCTGTGGGACTGCAGACCCCTGTAATTTCATATTAACACTGAGCATCTCCATTTCCTATGGCAGTGTACGGGTTCTCAGCACCTGGCATGTGCCAAGCCCTGTGCCGGGGATTTGGGGGGCGATAACCTATTTTCCACAGGCACCCTCCAGCTACCGCCACGCTCCTGCGATGGATGAAGAACCTGAGTGATTTCCCCGGGGTCTGGTTCCCAGTGGGATCAGCAATAAAACTTTGAAATTGATCAAGGCTATATGCTGTGCTGTCAGGTTCTGCTGCAGAAGCTACACACCACTCTGCACCATTATTGAAGGATATGGAATCAGTTAAAAAGTATGGGGAAGAGGGAAGCTCTAGAGAAGAAAAAAAAGCAAAATCAAGCCCTATGGCTTATGGAAAAGAATACAAGTGTCCAGCTGACCTGCGCATAAGAAGAAAGCAACAGGCCTGGTGACCTTACAGACATGAGTATCTTTTAAGTCATGGAGTCAACTCCTAAGAAAGCAAGGACAGTCCTGAGCCCCCCAAGTTCACTAAGTAGAGTTGGCTCTTCCCAGTTCTTCCCACAGAGACTGCGAACTGCAGGGACGAGGATGTTGTGTCGTTTGTTCCCTTTGACTGCAGATAAGAAGACAGGCAGCACTCACGTAGACTTGCAATGGCGAGAATGTGAGCAGTCTATCCGCTCCGTGTCAACGTTTCCCAATAAGGATCTGGAGCTGCACTCCACCCAGCTAAAAGAATGCAGACACACTCGAAAGCCAGAAAATCTGGGGGTGAGAGGTACCATTTCACTCAAACAATGAAGGATCTTGATCGGTATTCTTACCAGCCTGAATGGCTACCCTGCCTCAGCATTGTGGTGAGCTCACATTTATTTTCAGACAAAACCAGGATTCTTCCAGGAAGCAGTTTTGAAACTGAGCCAGCCCTTAAATCCGTGCTGTGCTAAGATGTCCATGTTTCACATCTTAGAATGTGAAGAAGATGGTTTAAATCTAAAAAAATTTTCAGAACCACAAACTATTGCTATATTTAGATAAAATGAAAAAATTAAGTCTATAAATAGATAACACTTAACATTCACAAAACAATTAATGAATGACAATTAAGCTAGATTAACCATGTGGTATTAGGTGGTGGGTGTCTAAAGATGTCCTATCCCACCTAAGTTCACGTGCCGTTCAGGTGCACAGACAAGCAGAGAACTAATTCTCTACAGTAATCCTTACTATAGTTAGAGTGGGGTTAACAACTTAAATGGCACAGAGCAGGGTGTCAATTTTAAGCCAGGCTTTGATGGGTAACTAGCATTTCACCAGAAAGTGCATGATCTTGAGAAGAGGGATAGGCCTGAGCCAGGTGCTGGGGCAGGAGAGGTCTCCTCACATTTTAATCGTGATCTTCAAAATTTCATTACTTTTCTCACCACGGTATTTAGAAGCCTATCTTATGGATAATATCTGCAATTCACATCAATAAAATACACATAAACTGAAAAATTTTATGGTTCTCAGTAGAGCTATTTATTTTGCCAATGAAATTAACAAGCTATTGGTTTGGAACAAAAGGTTCAAAATCTCTTACAAAATGGACACTGGCAAAAAAAAAAAGAAAAATGTTCGATGTCAGCTGTTTTAGGGATTTAGAAAGTTGAAAACCATCACACACTGCTGGTGGGAGAGTGGACTGGTATGGCAATCCTGGTGAACAACTCGGCACTATAAACCAAAATAATTGCACTACACACCATGACCGAGCCCTTCTTCTGTTGGATATTACATCTTCAAGAAATTCTCTCACTAAAGCTGCAGGGTGATGTCGGTGGGAATATGTTAAAGCACATTTTGGTGGTGGGTGAGAATTGGAGGCCATGGGATCGTCCGACTAGAAGACGGGTAGGAGTGCCCAACACGGATTTTTACAATGACTAGAACCAAACCATTATAATTTCATGGGGATTGCAGACAGAGCAGTACCCATCATGCACCAATGCCATGACAGTTCCAGAAAGGACAGAAACTCCCCTTCGGTGTCCTTCCCCTCTCCTTTCGTGTCTCTCACCATTAACCCTAAATATTAACCCTGGCACCTGGACCCTGTGGCAGGACTCACTTCTTGAGGTCACCTGTACCCTCTGAGGGTGTACTGTCACTTTAACTAGACCTCTGTGCTTTACTGAATCTTTCTGGCTTGCTGTTGAATTCTTTCTTGTGCTGAGACAAGAACCTGGGCTGAAGCCTTCCTCTGGCTTCCCTGTGAGCCTCTGACATCATGGGGATAAAAGAGAAAGGAAGGGAGAAGGAAGAAGGACACCTCTCTCTCTCAAGGAGACAAGCCAAGAGGTGACCCTTGGCAATACTAGTTAGGTGAATAATCACCTACTTTTTAAGAAGCTCCTAGAAAAAGTGGACGTAGAATTTTCAATTTACTGCATGTGCAAAATTACTGACAATATGCATGAACATTAGAAAAAGAATGTATCTGCAGTTTGGGTGAGAGGCAGTCAGGACTAGTGAAAAGAAGTTCGGGCTAAGTGTGTGCCCTGGGGCTCTACCACTCTCTGGCTTTTAGCTCTGGGTGGCTGCTACCTTCCTCAGACGTCAGTCTAAGACTGACGAATCTCTGACCAGCTCCATCAGATAATGCCTGTGTCTATTAGAACAGCATGCAAGAAGACATGCTTGTAAACCCCAGTTTTGGCTTTAAAAGGTCCCTTTCCCCAAATCCAGACCATCTAAAAAGAGAGCCAAACAAATCTCCTAGTCTTCTAATGGGTGCCAATGGCTTTCACACTATTTTCAAGACAGCATTTTTGTTTCTACCCTCAGATGGCTGATAGAAAATTAAAATTTCCGTGTGATGAAGAAATTTCTTTAGGCAGCAAAAATCTCCTAAGTATTTTTATCAGGCACACACAAGACTGTATTACTATAAAATGGTTTGGAGACAAAAATAATCATCATTTAACAAGACTTCCCTTGCATTTAAAAGGCATTGATGTTTTGTGAAAGGTCTTACTTTACAATATTGACTCATGTTATTTCTAGTAAATGATTCTTTTGTCATAGCAACCTCTTTTCCCTCAGGGGAGGAAAGCGTTTTATTTGCTGCCATCCAAAACCATGGCCCTACACCCACTCAGAAGAGAGCATAACATTTACAACAAAAATGTCACAACAACTATTATGAAACAATAGGCAGATGAATCATGTGGAACTGGAGCAAAACAGCGACATTTCAGCTGACTTGAGAGTACTTAACCTTATTATTAGAATCCTTTTTAGAAGTTGTTTCTATCTGCTGGAAAAAATTATTTAAAAAATAGCACAGCGGAGCCAGCCACTAATGTTCAACTAGAAATAAACCAGCTGCTTGGCTACTGTTAAAATAGCTATCAAATAAATCTAGGAATCTGAAAGAATGGTGTTGATATTCATGGAAACACATTTGAACCCACAAGCCCACAGTATTAACAATAAAGTAACCAGATAGGTAAAGACATCTCTGACTGCAGTTGGAAAGAGAAACTCCTTAGGTTTCAGCTCCGCGACCATGTTTGCAAATGAGTAAAGGAAGTAGCTCCAACAGTCTGAGTTTGGGACCGAGCATATGTGAGAAATAGAAGAAATGGAACAGAAGTGGTCAGAGCAGATGGAGACTCATTCTCACATGACATTTGCTGGCTGGAAGACAAACATGCTAATGAGCTTTCCCTAATAGGAGTCGGTACCGATAACTACAACAGAAAAATGAACTTGCTTCACACTTCCAATTTGCCACCTGCCTTACCACCACTGATTCCTCCCAAGAAGGCCTGTAGGGGTAGGCAGTACCACCTTCCATTAGATCTGAGGTTCAAGGCAAGTGTATGGACTTCGCCAATGACAACAAAGTGGTTGGTTTTGGAGCCAGGAACCCAGGAAACCTTCTGAATAGAAGACCCATATATTTGAATTCACTGTGTTGCTTCCTTATTCTGGACTTACGAGTAAATTCTCCTCCTACTCTTGGCTTAACCTTTATCTGCATTATGCAGGCCATGTGAATTACAAGACAGAAAATTCTCTTTTTGCCTAAGCTTCAAGATCAGCCTGATAGACAGACTTACTGCTCTATTTCCGAAAGGCAGAAGAGGGCAGAACCCCATTCATTTCCAGGGGCTCTGAAAGAATTAGGTGACCAGCTTTTCTGCTCACAGGTCACAGAATAAAGAATCCATTCAAATGAGCCCCGTTCCACTATTTTAAAATGAAACCTCGCCCGTGGTGCTTAGGCAAAGATGGTAGAATAAGCTTCTCTGGTAAATGGCGAAGCATGCGACTAACTCGGTTTTTGTGAGTGTAGTGCAGGAGGTAAATTTTTCATACCTGCTAAGTATTTGTTCATAAGAAATTACATGTTATTATTCATCTGAGATGTCTTTTACAATCATACCAAATTCAAAATGATTGTTAAGCAAGAACTGACTGAAAGTATTTTTTTTTCATCTTTTCTCTAGGTTAAGTGGCGGCGCTGAGTGTTGCTGAGCTACGATGTTATTTGCTAGGAGTTTCAGTCTGACTGGTGCTGTCTCCTCGCCTCTCCGGTGTGAATTACACTGCAGACCTCTGTAATCGCAACGCAGCAGAAAACCACATGTTAGCCATCAGGGTTGGATTTTTTGTTCTGGGCCACGGAGAGGCTACCCATCAGTGCATAAAGGTCTGCCCACCTGGCCTCTGGGTTCATAGTTCAGGCACACAATTAATTCATTATGAGGTCATTGCTTGCTTTTGAACTAGTCTTTCCAGCTTTGGAGGTGAATGTCCTGTCACTGACCTGGAGAAATAAATACCTCTACTCTTTCAAACTCCATTAAATCACATTTCCTTCTGGTTTTTTGGTTTTGTTTTGTTTTGCTTTGTATTGCTTTGTTTTGTTTTGTTTTTAATGGTGGGAGTGGAGGGAAAGTCTGTGGTTACAGAATATGTTCGACAATGAGCTGAAAATCTTGGGCATCTAAACAATTATTTGTGACAGCAAACCTTTGGGGAATATAAAACAGACTACATAACATAAGCAAATCCCTTTCATTTTTATTCTCTACTGTATACATTTTGAAATTTAAAGACTGGATCTTTAGAGTTACAACCTGGGACACTGATTTTAATTTAACAGGTCATGAAAAGCTTGAAGTTAAGAGAAAAATCTAACCTTTTCCATTTATTTCCAATCACATGAGTATGTAATATTGCTTGGTTGTTCCTTTATGCTGTACTAAATTCTGTATGCATATTATGTGTGTGTTTATAATGAATGAATATGTGTATCTTCCTCTTTAGTAACCAGCCATGTCACTAATTCCCCTTCCTTGCCCAACCATGCTAAATTTTGTGTTCATCATTCCCTTGCCTTTTAAAAATATACTTTTACTACATATGGTTTCCAGATCAAATAGTGTGCTGCTCTTTCTGAACCTATAAAATACTATCATGCTGGAAAGTGGCCTTCTGCACCTTTCCACACTAACAGTGACTTTCCAAGAGTCATGCATGCTGTCTAACATAGTTTAGTGTGTCGTTTCCATTTTCTGAGGAAACAAAATTCACCCAGAGCCAGTTTAAAGCTGCCCAGCATTCCTGCTATCATATTCTTTAAAGTGAGCTCAAATGGAGAACTAACATTTTTAAGAAATAATTGTTAGCAAGTCATTCTTTTCCTGTAAATTGACTGAAGGGTTGCAGAAAACTGACCGAGGCGGTAGATATTTTTGTGCTAATAAATATAATACCTATAACCAATAGTCTAAGAGTCCCACTTACATCTGTGGCCATGAATATACGCAAGGTGTTTATTCCAGCAGGTATAATGTTTTAGAACAGGTAACAAAAAAAGAGAAAGAGGAGCAACAATACGGTAATAAGAAATAGATGAAGGACCTGGAGATGATGTAAAGGCCAGAATTGCTATTCTTCAAATAAAAAGACAGTTATGAGCAACAGAATATCTATCTACTCTGCTCATTTTCCTTGGAAATTTGAGGAAAATTTTTGAAATCTTGAATAAAGTGTATTTCCTTAGAGAGGGTTTATATTTGCTTTCTCCAGAAACCCAGGGGAACTACAAACCTGGGCGCTTTAAACCAAATTAACAGTCTGAGGTTATGGACATTTAGGCTACAACTCCATGCAAAGATTAGCCGCTGGTTACCACTTCTAAGGGAAAGATTCAGCCTCACTGCGGGTCCCATCAGGACACCTCTGGGGGTGCGAGTGTCAATGTAGCACAGACATGGGCCTTTGGGATCCCAGCTTAAGGTGTGGAGGGTGTCCTATTAGATGGACTTCCTTGGTCAGTGTTGGCCTTGACTTTCTACCTCCTGAGTTTTGTGCAGCCCTGAAAACTAAAACTCAGGTACACACTTGTCCTCACAGCAAAAGTGGCTTTGCTGGCTTCAGTCTTTCCTTTATCATGGACAAGTTCTGGATTTCTACTTTCTATTATATTTTGGCCTAATAATTTTATGATTTATAAACAATGTATTATAAATGTATGTGCATGTGTGCACAAAATTACAGAGATGCAGATTGTGCCATAAAGTACAGAAGACATTTCTATCCGTCATGCTCACTGTACCAACTCAACAGCGTTGTCTCGGGTGACAGTGAAGCGGGTTCCCTGGTCAGCAGGAGCGTTCTAGTAGAAGTTGGATAACTATTATTCATATCAGAAAAGCTATTCAGGCAATGCAAGAATCAGAGATCTGATTGGTCTATTCCAGCCCCAAGGGACCCTGACTGCATAAAACACAAGGGAAGAAGCACGGCACACTTACAAACGAGGAGGTACTGCACCAGGTTTCCCTGCATAGAGTAATGCGTGGCTAGGAGGCATTATAATGACAGAAAAGAAAAATGGAGAATTTCATGGATGATAACTTCAAAACAGCTGATTCCATAAGAGTATCTATTTCTAGACTGTTGCCATAGCTTAGCCTAATACAGAAACTACACAGACAAATTCTTGCTGTCTCCTAACTCACTGTCCTCTATTCTTATTATCACTGGTTTCAGTAAATCATGCATTGAAAAACAAAGGTTAATAAAGTTGATTGCATATAATCACAATAAAACGATCAGGTTGTTTAGACCAATTTCCTTTAATATTTCATTCTTGAAGGGCACAGTCCGTATCTTATTCATCTTTATGTCCCCACAGCCAGGCAAAATGACTGGCACATAGTAGGTCCTCAGTAAATGTTTGTTCTGTGGAGCACATTGTTTCTCATCTATAATACTGCAATTCTTTTTTCATCATTCTTCAGGTCAAGTGAATAAAACCTACCTTTCTATGCTGTTCTTCTTTGAGGTTTGCAGGAGGTTGTTTTTATACTTACTGATGGGCCTATTCCCATCAGAATAACCAAGAACCAAGCAGAAGGTCCGCTGAGCTGTACAACTGGGCAGTTTATATTCAGCATTACTGTGTGTGTGTATGGGTTGAGGATTGCACTTTCGTATTTTCAAATCTGACTGACATCCAAATGTTGTAAACAAGATGGAGTTTACTCAGTTCCACACATTATAAATTTATCAGAAAAATCATGAAGAACAGGTAGCACTAAACTTCGATTCAGAAATATCACTTTGTTTTGGGGGGGCTCATCAAAGAAGGTCTAATTTTTAAAAGAACCAAAATAATGAGAGTCTTACCTCAGGATGAGGAGTCTGTGGCAAAACCGAAGTCTCATTTTCAGTAACATTTCCAGCTGGCCCATTGTTCGGGGAACTGGGACCAGACCCTGGAGAACCGCTGCTGACAGAGGATTCTGAAAAACATCGTGAAGTACAAATATATTCAGGAAACACATAAAAATGGAACCCTAGTTACTCTCTAAGGCATATACAGCATTGAACATTGTTTTCACCTCCCAACTGAATGACAAGTTCCATTTCAGATAATAAAAAAGAATGGTGAAGAATATTGGGAATATTTCACCTAAGCTTGTAGCCTTATCCCTTTTCTCCCTCCCTTGTCAAAATCATTCAACATTGTGACATCCACTATCAACTTTAGGCAGAGTGCTCTCATGAAAGTCATATTTCTTGCCATTACCTCTCATAAATTCCAGCCTGAATCCCTTTGGGATGCTGGACATTCTTAACCTCACTTTATATGTGAATCAAATTCAGTGTATGCCAGTATTCCATGTACTCTGCTTATCTGTTTATCACTAACGTTAGAGTCACTCTCACTTCCCTCTTTACCCCAAACCTAGTCAGTTACTAGGTCAGTTCGTTTTGTTCTTTACATCATCTTTCATCTACCTCTGACCACCATCATTTCAGTTGAAGCCTTCGGCACTCATTTTTCTCTCAGGGACTCTAGCAAAAGTTTCCTACTATTTCTGAGTGGCTACAGCGGTCTCTCAAAATGTTCCTCTACCAGGCATCTCCAATTTATTGGCATCTCTGGGCCACACTGGAAGACAGAGAGTTATCTTGGACCACACGTTAAATACACAGACACTAACAAAAACTGATGAGCAAAAAAAAAGGTTCTAAATAAATTTATGATGCTGTGTTGGGCCATATTCAGAGCCCGTGGGCCACGGGTTGGACACCCCTGCCACTGTTACCCGTGAGAAGGATCACAGTGGGACGAGTTTCACCACGTTCCTACCCACTGATAAAAGTCTGAAACTGTAAAAGAGTTTTGAAGTTTATTTGGAATCTAAAAAAAATATGAATTTGGGAGACACAGATTCAGAGGAAGACCCCAACCGTGCCCCAAAGAAGACGAAGATAGCCAGAGCTTACAAAGGCACAAACCACAAGCCAGAACCAGAGAAACTGGTCCAATTGGCTCCTTCCCAGGGCTGGTTCAAAATGGTCTGGTCAAGACTGGCTGATGAGACTCTAAGGTCAGAGGGAGGGCAGCAGCAAGTTCCAGAATGCACCTCTACAGCAACACGAAAGTCCAAAAGTCCAAGCCTCATCTGGGTGCAGACGTGCATAAGTCTGACTTCTCTAATGACCTTCAGGCTTCCTTTTAGGGCCCTCTGACAGTAGCGCTGCATTTTGAATAGTTCAGTTCACATTCCTCAGTTTCCTAAAGGAGGCTACAGTGATTTTCTGTTATCGCCCTTCCTGTGCTCTGCCCTCAAGTCCAAATCGCCTCCTCCATGTTAGGGGCCACTTTCCCACTTCACGGTTTCTCATTCCCCTCCTCCCCCACCTCTCTCCTGGCAGGTCCAACCCCACCTCTAAGATCAAAGCCTGGCTCCTCACCACCCGTCCCCCAGGGAGAAGGAGCTCCCAATGGGCAGGCAATACTTGCTCAACCTCCCTTGGTAAACCTCTGATTTCAGCTTCCCGCTACAAAGATTTCTCCACACAGAGGTACCCTGCCAATGGAAAGCACGTGAGACGGATGACAGAACTCTGATCCTGCCCCTCCTTACTGTGCATTTCACCAAGTCTTGGGTATCATAACATTTTAAACACATCGTGCTCACTTTCTGTCTATATATCTTGCAAACATTTTGATTAATCTGCTTTTTTACCTTTGCCTCTTTCTTAGTTACTTTTCTTTAAAAGAAAATGCACGTTTTTAAAGAAACTCTCCTAGGAGCTTCTATTCCCCCCAGACTCCTAACTCTCATCTTTCCTGTATGACTAAGTGCTGATTTTTCATTGATATCTCATTCCCATATCCTGTCTTTAAAAAATGGCAACAAAAAAAGCTAAGCTATTATCTTGAACATTCTGTCTTGTCATTTTAAAATTATATTATCTATATTATCAAATGTGAGAGTCAGAAGGATTTCCTTACATAGAAATCACTGTGATAAGCCCTAAAATTCAAGGCAGCAAATACTGAAACACCATCCTGCAACTTCCCACTGGAAAGAGTCTTCGAGGAGAGGTAGCAACTGATTTTCTGGGAACACTGAGAAAAATCTCAGGAAAGAAGACACTGCAATTGGGGCTTTACTAAGAGCTCAGGAAATAGGGACAATAGAGAAGAGGAGATTGGAGGAGAGGGCACCCTGGGCACAGGGAAGTGTCAAGGCTTAGAACTAAAAACTAACAAGGCTTTGGTGGGGAGAAGGGCAGAAAACTTGAACTTGAAAAAGAGGAAGATGGCAAGTGGTTCCCATGCTAGCTACCAGGAGCAAAGACATGGTTCTGGTGCCAAAGAGCGGACCTTGGCCTATGAACTGGAGAAGAGAGACACAGAGGTGAGAGCAGAAAGGCTAAAGTAGCAACTCAAGAGCTGCGATGCTACCGTGGCTCCTGCTGGACTGCAAAAATAATTAGCATTAGGACCCAAACAGAGCTCATTCAAATGACACAAGAACTGGCAGAGAAAGGACAAGAAGGATGGGTGAAGTAAACTGTGAGTCCTGTGGTTCGCAGCCTCCAAACACATTTAGAATAAATACAACAATCCAGTTAAAACACCTGCCAGAGCCCCGCACGGCCCCACTGACTGACCACAAGTGTGTGTCTAATAAATGACAGGTCTCTCTGAATACACATTATTTTCTCAGAAAAGGGGGTCATTACCTTACAAAATTAAGAAGAGAGAAACATGACATTTCAAAAGTAAAGAAATTTGAGTAAAACTCCAGCAAATTGTAACCCTCATAAATGAGAATCAATCATAACTCAGATCGGTATTAAGTTAAATTCCAATTTGTTAAGAAAGAAATGTGACTGTGGAGAAAAGTTATGATCAAGAAAAGAAATTAATTGGAAAACAGAAAAAGAACATTGGGATAAATAATATGACCTTAGATGATAAGATTCTAAAGCAAAAAATAAAGCAATCTATATGGATTTCTATTTACTTCAAGTTTTTCTATTATGAAAGAGCTTACTCTCTCCAATTAGAAAAATTACCTATATCTATTTATAGTAGATGATTGACATGCTCATTATTCTTTGTATTCATTAAAACAGATTCACTTTCCAACTCTGCACCCCCACCAAGGACCTCTATTATGAAAAACTCTATTAATTCTTAATTTAGAATTCGCTCAGCCTAAATTAGTGATTGTATTTGACATTGTAAAATAAACGTAAACTCTAGTAAAATAATTTCCATTTATGTAATATTTGTATCCCTCAAGGAAAACTTTTCCCACTAACACTTTTCTTCAGATAAACATATTAATCTGTCAGGATTGATTGGGAGACTAAACTTTTCCACCCTATATAACCTGTCAAACTAGTATTTTCCATTAGTATTCTGTACTTCCACAATATATTAACCCCCAAACTAGACACCATCATTGCCAAAGGAGATATAGAAAACAAATATTTTTTTAATCTGTTAAAGATGAGAGCTGGTCTTGGAGAAATAATATATCAACTGACTACATTGTTATAAACACATTTTTCATTGAGAATGGAGAAAATGGTTGTAGATCACCACTTTATTGATGCAAGCAAAGGAAATGACCAGTCACAAGTGTGTAGCTTGAAGTAGGTACTCAATAAACAGTGGTCGGTATTATTGTTTTGGCTAGCCTCTTTGGGTCTTGTATCCACAGGTCTTCTCTAATTTCAGACCAGGTACAACTGGGACTCAGGGGCTTTGTAAGACATCAGGTTGAATTTCCTAACTTGTTCACCCCACTACTAACTGGGCAGCTAAAAAAATAAGAACTCTTCCATTTGAGACTAGTGAATATGACAGATTCTTTCCCTTCATAAAAGGCAATGTATCCCCTCTCCTGCCATAAGTCCCAGTTCACTAGTAAACACATAAAGTCATTTATGAGTTCTGTAAATTTGTTGAAAAGTCAAGGTTTGCTGCTCCATGTAGTTTCATTTTCCCAGATGTATTTTGTACCCGCACGTCTGAGTGCGGGGGAAGTGCTCCTCTCGGACCCCCTCTGCTCATTCCTCATCACATTTCATTAAAAGTTATATCCTCCTGGTTGGCATTCCCCAAATGGCCTGCCTGTTTCTGGAAAGATGAAGGTGAGCCCTGGCTTCCCCAGTTATGCCTAGACTGACACATATTTCTGTTTTCCCTTCATTTCCTGTTTAACCCGGTTGGTGAATGCATGGCAGGGTTTACTGAACTACTCGTGCGTTTTCAATAGAATCTTCTTTCAAGAGAGGTTCCTCCTCAAAATAACTTTTAATGTGCAACAGGCATATGTATTCTAAACTAATTTTTTTCATTCCTACTACCAGCATTTTTTAGTGTGTATCTGCCCAGTCCTCAATTACCTGTCACCTCAAACACTCGCTTCTTGAATGAAGTGACAACATTTCCATCCTTCCGCCTGAGTAAGGGGCTGCTTCTCCTCTCTGCCACTTTCTGTTTTAACCTGGACCGCACCTTCAAGTTGGGCTCAGAGGCTGGGGATTGAGACAAAGAAAATAGATAAAAATTAAAAATAGAGAGCCAGTTGCTCTTGTGTATAAAAAGTGGCTCACCCTTTACTTGGTCCCTTATCTCAAATGAAAACCCGAAGCATGTAAATAAGGCATCGACAGTGAATTAAACAGACAAATAGAGTAATTATTGTTATGAAATGTGTGAAATGCTTTTACACTTCTCTAAATGTTAAGTGAAAAGAGGAGTTAAAACATAAGTTTTCTACTTATTTTATCTAACAGCATTGGATCGTTAGTGGGAAATTTAATCACTGTATACGTTTGGGTGAGGGTAAGATTTATTATGCCCTCATCGTCAGTCCGTTTAATTTCCTCAAGGGTGAAACTCAATAGCCACAAAAGCAGTACCCTGATGTGATCTTAAAGACTCTGGCCTGACTTCTGGTAATAAGAAGACACCTCGGTAGCATGTAATTTATGTCGAATTCTGACTTCCGGAATGTTTCTTTGTCAGAAGTTTCTAACCAGAAATCCTGGGAAAATATACTCACCATAATAACACCAAACCAAGTAGAATCACTTTGAATAAAACTTTCTGTACACTGAGTATACAAGGAACCACAAAGGAGGGGTGGCCAAGTCTTAGAGTAGGACAGTTATGAGTTAGGTTATATGTTCCAAAATACAAATGCACATTATATAGATAGATAGATAGATAGATAGATAGATATTTATTTGATTAAACTATTCTAAATAGTGATGCTTTATAATTAGTCATTACTTATTAGGAGTCTAAGTAATTATATTTAGAAGAATGGAAACATTGGATTAAATTTCTGTGTAGTAGAAATCAGGGACAATGATGATGACGATGATGGTGGTGGTGGTGGAAAGGTTGTTTCTGATAAGAAGAACATTTATATCATGATTTCTATTTTCCACTACTGCTCTAAACACTTCGTCAATATTAACTTGTGTAACCATAAAAACTCCATATGGCATGGACTCTATTTATACCTCGATTATAATATATCAATGAGGCACCAAAACACAGGGCGAGGGTAAGTAACTTGCCCAAGGTCACGTAGGTAAAATGGGATGAAGCTGGGATCTGGAATCGGGTAGTCTACACCTTTATTTACGTCTGAACACCATAAAAATCATAACAATTTTCCCTTGGAGAATTGCTAATCTTCTGTGTCAGACACAATGTTATAATTTAGGTAGAACTTTTGGTCGGTGAAAACACTGTCTTTGAAGGAATTTTATATTTTGTCTGACTACAAAAAGTATCAAAAGTAGAACTTGATATTTTATTTATCTCTTTATTTATTGTGTTTTTAGACTTCAAATATCTCTACTTAAGTTTCTGTCTCTGTTCCCCTCACTCCACCTCTCTGCAGCTTCTCCTTGTGCTGAGAACACTTGCATTCCAGCTTTCATGGAGCTGGCCAGGTGAAACAAGAATGTGAAGGAAATATGCAGTTACAAAAAATAAAACAAGTTAATTTTTTACGTTCTAAGACTTAGTTTATGCCTGAAAATATTTTATGAAGTGAAAAGATGGGGTCCTGAACATACAGTAAAAGTAGAAAATGGGGGAAGGGCAGATATTAGGATGCAGAGCAGAAAGCCCAGGGACTACGCCCCTGGAACGTATCATTTCCTGGGCTCCCACTTTCAAGCAAAAAAGGTAAACAGTTTGGGGGAAGGACTAAAGTTCCTGGCAGACCTTCCAGGAGTTCAGCCCACTTTATATTAGTGGAGAAGTCTAAATCGGAATTACTAGCATCCAGTTCACCTAGGATTAAAGACAGAAAATGGGAATGTATTTAGACTTTTTTCCTCTGTATATATTTATTTTTTTAAAAGATTTCATTTATTTATTTTAGAGAGGGAAGGGAGGAAGAAAGAGAGAGAGAGAGAAACATCTATGTGTGGTTGCTGGGGGCCGGGGCCTGCAACCCAGGCATGTGACCTGACTGGGAATTGAACCTGCGACACTTTGGTTCGCAGCCCGCGCTCAATCCATTGAGCTATGCCAGCCAGGGCTGTATATATTTATTTAAAAATTCCCCTAATCACATCAATTTTGTCTCTGAAAAGCTATAACTAATAAATATATTTATCTAAAACCTAGAAAGAGAAAAATGAGAAATCCCCAACTATATCAGTATCTGCTGTAGCCTTGCTTATATCCCTAGGACAAAGATCAGGCTCCCAGAGTTGGATCTAGGCATGACTTCTCGATGAACCCTAATGGATTAAACATGAGAGTTCATCATATAGACTGCCATAGATTGCCTGTCCAGAGGGAGCAAATCAACTGATTAATCCCTGCGAAGGGTGGAACAGAAAAGGCACTGCGCTTTCAGTGGGAACGTGTGGAACTGAGTCCACATGCCGCCACTTGCCAGCTGTGGGGTCTTCCATGAGACACTAGTGCTTTCTGAGCCTGACCCTGCATTTGGAAAACAAGAACATCTAACACCTTCTTTATTTATGTTCCAGGGCTCTGACCACCTGATTAGATACCTGAGAGTAACTGTGAGGATCTGGGTGAATGAAAACAGAAAGGAAAGGTTTGTAGAATCTTTATTATTGCTACTACTGCCCAGGAATGAAAGCCAGGACTGGGCCCCAACCCCCTAGTTCTCATTCCAGGCTTCCTCCCTCACCTAACCCATTACAGGGGCTGGAGCAGTTTTCAAAAGCCAAGACAAAACTGTGCCAATAGCTTGGAAAAACAGCCTATGCCATTGAAACATTCTACACAAAACCTAGGCTTCCACAAGCTTTCAAGGTTGGCAGACAGCTTTCATTCCTACGTTTGCTGTTTGAGAGTGGGCTGGATTGACAGGCAGCTCTTAAAGTTCTTTCCATGGGTCAAAACAGAAGAGAAGTGAACACCAGATTAGGAATGAGAACTGGGTTCTCCTCTTGCATCTGTCAGCCACTAAAATCAATAACCTAGAGTAATTCACAGTCTCAACTGAGTAAGCCAGTTTATTCACACAAATTAGCTTGAGGGATATCTTTGTAGTGCACATCAATAGATGTGCATATAAATGCCTGCCCCATGCATTAGCACTTGACCTTGGACAACTTACTCTGTATCTGTAAACCACAGTTTCCCATGTTAAAATTGGGGATAATTCTTTTCCCTACTTCTCCCAACAGATTCTATTTTCTGTCTGTCTCTGAGCCCATGGAGGCTGCATCCTAGGGCTGCATCACTCCACTCCTGGTGGGATCTCATTTGGGCTCAAGCTACTGCTGGGACTGGCGAGTGATCCAAAGATTAAGGAGGAGGGTGAGGCTGAGGTATCCTCTGAGCTCTCTGCTTCAGTGTCGTATCACTGGCTACAGCTTTCTGTTTTCCTCCTTCACCCTCCAGAGGCCCTCTGGTCCATGGCTCCAGCACTGCAGGACTCAATTTCCTCTCCTTACTTCTTCAGCCCTGGGAGAGGGAATGGGTTCCTGCTGTTGCTATTTTCTGTGCCCCTCAACACCCCTGAGCATCACACAAGTCTGTGACCCATACTGTGTAGGTTCTGTTTCCTGCCAGGACTCTGATGAACACAGTCCTACAGATTTTGCAAAGTTATGATAGAATCAAATGAAATAATGTCCAGTAGAAGATAAACTAGAGGTTCTCAACCAGGGAAGATTTTGACATCAAGGGACATTTGGCCATGTCCAGTTTTTGTTACATTTTGTTTGGTTTGGTTTGGAGGTATTTTTGAGTGTCATATGCAGAGTTGCTACCGGAATCTAGTGGACAGAGGGCCAGGAATCTTTCTAAACATCCTACAGAACAAGCCTCCACAAGCTTTCCACAAGCTTGTGGAATGCCCAGAACAGCCCTCACAACAAGGAATTCTATGGACCCAAATGCCTTTATTTCCAAGTGTGAGAAACTGTGGGGTAAGCCATCAGTGAATGGCAGTTATTAAGAATCGTGCCACACTGGGGTGATCAAAGGAGGTGATATCTGTCAGAGAGTCTCAGAGGATTCTCAGAGGATGAGGAACAGAATAAGGGCAGAAAAGGAAGATTGTCAGAAATCAGGGAGTGATACAGGTAGCTTGAAAATACAAAATATTTCAATACATTTCACCCTCAGAAATTTATTTTAAAACATTTATAATACTACTGTTATTTCTAAAGAAAACAAAGTTAGCCAACTTCTATTGGCTATAGAGATACATAGAAAGATGTACTTTCTCAGTTTGGAAGGATAATATGTGAGTCATTGTGATTTTTTTGTATATCAATTGTGGACATAGCTTCTTAACATGAAGAGTTATTGATATAGTCTATAAAGTGCAACATAAATTAATTTTCTTAACATATGCTATATATAACTTTTCTAAGTAAAGATCCACAGCTATTGGTTTTAGCAAAAACTTTTGCCTACATTTCAACACTGGTTTTGAGTCACGGAGATATTAGAGTATCAGTGGCGAGGGTGAAGGTTGGAATGATAACCATCAGTTGGTCCTTGCAACGCTTTATAAACTCACTGCTAACGTTTCAGAAGCCCACACACCAAAGCTCAGCATGATACATACCCAAGCAGCCGAATTAATGAGTGGTTGTGCTGACTCAGTTTGCAGTTAAAGTTAATTCCATCTTTTTTTAATGTTCTGGCCTCTCTAAAGTCCGAAGGTTTCCATTCCAGTGACTTACTAATGGAATGCAAACCCTCCAGGGCCCAGAAAGAGGCCACTAACCCGGGAGGCATTCTGCTTGTGTTAGAGCGTGTTTCATGCCCAGCTGCACTAATTGCGTTTCTATTTTTACCACATGCCCATCACTTTCTGCATCTCAATTAATCACAGAAACAGAAACTAGCTTTCCAGTGTGTGTACCCATCTAAATGCACTGGTCGGCTGAGATGGAAACCTTGCATGAAAAATTAATTGTCATTATTTAAATAAAACAATCAATATTAATATAGAGGACAGAACTAAAAACTTTTTTCTCCTTTTACATAATAGAAAAAGTGAACAAAAGAA